CCTCCGTAGATTAAAGGTAGGCAACGCATATGCAATTACGTATGTATATGGGCAACGGTCACTTCGCTACTTCAGCGATTTCAGGTGGCCGCTCGCTCCTTTGCCACCTTATGATATAAAAAAGGACATAATTATTGTTTTAACTAACGTCTTTAATTTGTCTATTATTATTTCGTCTCCTTCCAATAATCATACATACTTTTATACATTATTAGTTAAAATCATTTGTCGCGAATGACGTGCTTTCGTTACAAAGTCCAGTATCAGAATGAATAGTGATGGGACAAAAACATCGACATTTTAGTAAGGCTACTGTTGCACCAGTACACCGGCACATTGTTGGATTTTCTTCCTAACAATACAAACAAAAACTTGAGTTACGCATAATTTTACTCCCGATCGTTCTTTAACTGTAATGTAGAAATCATTTTATATTTACATTTATCAACATAGTTGAAATATAGAATATTTGATTGCTTAAGAATTTTAAATTTTCCTAAAGCTATAGAATATGAAGCGTTGTAAAAATATTGCAGTGAATCATATTGTGTAGTCGCAGGTATTTTTATAAAGACTGATTGCGATTTGCTGCGCCCACGCGGCACCGAATGCTTGACAACTTTAGATCAAATACATTTGGTTGCTAAGAAATGTTGGCTTCGCTCGTGATCCACCTGTCTCTATTCCATATTCTTATCGGTAACATGATTTATGTTTACGTTTGTGTAATGATTGAATACAACTCGAATTTCCATTGATATTTGAATGAAAATGATTTATGTTATAGCTATTGTTCGATGTGTAACTATGTGTTGTAAAATCTCTAAAAAGATCTTACTAATATTATAAATGTGAATGTTTAGATGGATGGATGTTTGTTTCAAGGTATCTCCGGAACGACTTCACGGATGTCACTAAAATTTTGCATATATGTAGAATATAGCTTGGAAGAACACATAAGCCAATTTTTAACTTTTTTTTTAATTCCACGCGGACGGAGTCACAGGCAACAACTAGTTATCTATATTCCCTTAACCATCATCTTTCAGTTTATGTCAAAGAAAATTACATTTAAATATTAACACTGTAATGAATCTTTAAGGTTGTGGGCACATTATGAAGAACAGGTTGCAAGGAATGAACGGCAGCGGATTAGTACTTTTGTTTACATTACCCCGCTCCGTCGCGCCGCGTCCGCTAATTTAGTGACCGCATCCTAAGTGTGACTCCAAATGATATACTAAATTATATCTCATATCAAGCGTATTAAAATAACAAAAATAAGCATGTTTTCAACGGAAGTATACGTTGCCAGAATGAATTAGAGCTGAAATATATCTTATCGCTTTGATTTAAAGTTTATAATTGACTATTTAGTTTTTAAGATCTAAAGAATATAAACAATAAACACGTTAAATGACCACGTTTTTGTAATTATTAGTTTAGCTGTTTATGTTATTTTGTTTGTATGTAATTTTCAAAATTTTTCAAATAATTTTCATACAATATAAGTTTTTAAAATACGAATCCTGAATAATGTTTAGTATTTTAGTAGTATAATCTTACTAACATAATAAATGCGAATGTTTAGATGGATGGATGTTTTTTTTTTATATCATGGCAAACGAGTGGCCACCTGAAATCGCTGAAATAGTGAAGTGACCGTTGCCCATAGACATACGCAATTGCATATGCGTTGTTGTCTACCTTTAATCGACGGAGGAGAGGATGCACGGAAAGAAAATATACATTTTTCTATTATTAATTATACCTTAATTAATAATAGAAAAATGTATATCTCCAGAACGGCTGAACTGATCTCGATGAAATTGGGCATACGTATAGAACATTGTCTGGAAGAACACGTAGGCTACCAATTATATTTTTTAATTCTAGTTATTAGTATATAATTATTTTTGCTTTATAATTTGTACAGACCTTTTTAGCCTGCTACGAATATTGTCTACGTAGCCTCGTAGCTCCTCTACGTTTCACAAGTTACTCTACTGAACTTAAGAAGTTAAAGATTACTATGTTTTTATTGTTTTAGTCGTTTTCACTAACTTTATTTATTTAATACTTCTTACTACTGTTTATGAATACTACTTTGAGTTGTGTAATAGTCTTGAGTAATATCACATAAAATGTTTAACCGGATAGCAAAATATAAATCTTACCAGACATCTAATTTGACTTTATTTTCGTGAAATGTATTCGTCTATTATAACCTCGGTTGTTCTTACGATGTCAAATAAATCTCTATTAACATAAACTCGTAGGTGTTTTAGGGCTGTCGTTTGAGTGCTACGAAATGTTTCTGTTACGCCATGGTTTTGATGATTGGATATTTTTGAATATTCATATTTCTTTTTGCACAATAAAAACCCACTTGCGACGCTATATTTGTATTCTTAAATCATTTCAATCGTAATGCATTTTTAAAGAACTTTCACAAGAATTTCTTTTGATAATATAAACGTAATATTTAATACTTCAAAATCATTATAAACTATAGAATAACTTTATGATTTTATAAGTGAGATAACAGTGTTGATATAAAATTGTCTTAACTTTTTAAGTTAACTCTAAAAGTTGAATTTAACTTACGATTCTAAGGTTCACCTGTTGTTATACTGATTACCAGAATATCTTATATATAATTTTGATGAAATATGTATATTCAGTAGGTCTGATAATCTACTATCTGTGGCGCAAAAGCCTGTGAGCTAAATCTCGCACTGGGATTGGCTCCCGCGTTTTCTCGCGACACAGAGAGAGCGCAAACACAATACGTCAAATATAAAATACTGAGATTGAGTTAATTATAATACTGTGTCCTTTTCATTCAATATACTTCGTGTAAAGTAAGATTTCGTTTTATTATTGTTGCTGATATCAACGCAGTCAACAGAAACCCATATATCTTTTAATCCGGCGCGGACGGAGTTGCATGCAACAGCTAGTATATACATGGTATATTTCAAGTGTCTTGCGTCATGATTATGATGACATGATGACGTGATCGTTTCAAATATTCCTTGACTTATTTCATATTTATTATAATTTATTATATCTTTATCGCATGTCCACCGTCAGTCAGGAAGACTATTAAATTGTAATATCTGCTATAAACCTAAATTAATTTTAAATAAATATATTTATCGCATTTTTATTAAAGTTGTTATGTAATAAATAGATGTGACATTATATGTGTTATTAAAAAATAGCCTAGAAAAAAATCAAATAGAAAAAATTACACAATAAAAGAGGAACACTGTTGCCGACAGATACGGAACTTTTTACACTTTTTTATTCTTAATTGTTATATTTTTGAATTTAGAACTTTATATGTTTTTTCTTCCTTTTTCTCTATTTTTAAACCATCAGTTGTAAATATATTCTTGTAACAGTGCGTGCTTTTCTCCTTATTTCTAATAATTCTATTTAATATTTTCATTTTATCTTTTTATTATATAACATAATATTCCAAAATTCATCTTAATCCTAACGCTCTTCCATCCTTACATATTCGGTCGTCTTTAAACACTGTTAAGACTAGTCGAATGTAAAATAAGTCAAGTTGCTAGTATATACTGTTAGGAGGAAAAACCGATACTGTGCCGGTGTATCGGCACAACACTAATCTTATTAAAATATCAACCTATCACCTCACTAATTCATCTGACATTTGACTAAGTAACAAAAGCGAACAATTCGCTCCAAATGAATGTAACTAATATTGTCTAAAAATACTTAATTTTATTATCATAATTATACAAGAGGGGGTGACTTGTCATGTCTCCACGGTAATTAAGACTCACTGACAATGTCGGCCAGGTAACGCGTCGCGATTTCGAAATAAACACGGAAGATAATCGAACTCACAAATCCATGTTCTAATTATCAACATGACACTGTTTTTGTGTTCGTGGAAAACTTTTGAATACAGTTTTATTTAAAGATTTTTTTACGTAATTTATTTGCACTGATGTTTATGTATTTGAAAATAAAAGGAATAACGTAGTATTTTGATAAAATTACCTTAAGCATAAATAGCTTAATGGTTAAGGGTACGGATTTCCGATCACGAGGTTGGGGGTTAAAATCACGCTATTCGACTATTGTCGTAAACCAAGTCCTAGCACAAGCTTATAGCTTAGTTGGAATGGTATAAGGAACATTAGTATGTTAACAAAAACATCTACTAATATTTGAAAAAAATCTGAGTATTGAATTTAGGGAATAAATTTAGGTAATAATCATTCGATGTAAATTAGTCACCGTTTCGTTCCTCTCCTTTATCTCTCTCTCTCTCTCTCTCTCTGTTTGTTAAGGGTAGGCTCCGAGCCCCTTAGTGGGAATGCATAGTGAGCTGATGATGTTTCTGTTTGTTAACTTTCAATAGGTATTAACTGTACATCTGTGCTAAGCTAATATATGTAAAATTAGTATATCTCTATTTGAACTGTGATGTTACGGAGAGTTTAGTATCAGTATTTAATGTCGCGACGCATTATCTCATCAAAACATGTCTCATGTTGCGCCCAGACCGGAGACATGTTTGTTTTTATAAGCGCTTCATTCGCGGAATTCTTTAAATGTTATTCACGTTTAAAATGGCAAATTCTGATTCGAATTGCACTGTATTAACATTTGAGAAATGCTCCGACTCCTCACGGGTATTAAAAAAGACGTCCCAACTGAGGGGCTCGGAACCTACCCTAAGTAAGGGGTGACTATTCCTTAGGGCTATGGGGCCACACATGTTTTTGAATTTCTTCACATATGTATGCAGTTTGCATCATGATGTTTTCCTTTACCGTAAAAACGTCGGATATATATGTAAATCGAATATAAGTCAAGTGCTTAAAACTAGAGCCAACGACGCTCTTCACTGTATGGTGTCGTAAGTTTAATTATTAATTTCATTTTTAATTATCGATTACTGGTTTTGTATGACCTTGAATATATTATTTTCTAAATTGTTCCATTTTGTACAGAGAATTCATCTGCGGCGGTGGCGACGAAGCCGAAGAGACGAGCGTACCTTCTGAAGCGGAAGGCGCTGACGACTGGCTTCTTCGACCAGAGCAGAGCCAAAGATGGGGACAAGGATAAAGGTACAAATTTCAAAGTAATATTAGAAGAAGAACTGTAGATTATGTTTGTTTATTACATGTTCATATTTAATTATTTGTCATATAACATATGAAAGTTTACATAGGAGCCATTAACTTATATGATTTATTCCTGTTTTTAGTCTAAATATTTTTTTTACAATTTCATTACTGAGTATTTTACACCTCATACATTAATAAACACTTTTAAACATAAGAATTGTCGTTTTAAAAAAATAACTGTACAGTCTATACAATTTCGTAGCATTTATAAACTACGTAGAGTTGCTACGAATACTTAAACACGTAGCAGTATAGGTCACATTTAATTTGGTTACGTTAATACTCGTACTAAAGCGTTGGTCCCACTAGATGAGTCAGCGGCCATCGTCTGCCAATACCGCATGCCGAGCCTACGCTCTGTCTCACGTTATGACAAATGACCTTCGAAATATCGCAATTATTTTGACTAAAGTACAACGCTTCCGGTTTGACTAATGAGTCGCTGACCAATAACCTAATAGATACACAACAAGCAGAATAATTGGAAGAATGATGCCATTATATATAATAATATTTTAAACATAACGCTTACTAGTTCGAAACACTATTAGAATACAACATAATCCTTTGAGCTATATATAAACAGGTATAAAATAAATAAGACTATAAATTTCGTAACATAGGCCTCTGGTCTTAACTAATAAAGAGGAAAGATTTGACTGTTTGCATTTAAGACGCCAAAACTACTGAACTTAGGCTTTATTAGAAGTTTTTTAATTCCGCGAGGACAAAGTCGCGGGCAACTGATAGAAGATAAAGATAGATAGAATTAATAGCAATGACATAAAACAACGAAGGAATAGTAGACTCCAAATAGTTTTTATCGATCCTTATATATCCAGTCTTATCGTAGAGTCTATAGATAGTGTAGGTAGGGTCATGTTGAGACAAACCAGGTTATGTGGTTATAAAATACTTTATGAGTCCACAACGGTTGTAGGTAAATCACATTGATGTATTCATTAGCCGATAGAGCGCGCTAACTTATGTCTTAGTATTTTATTGATCTTTAAATGTTCACAAGTTGTTAAGACATTTTCCTGGTACGGTTTTATTACATCTCTTTTATCTAACGATAAGCTACGGTATTTATAGTCTCGAATACTACGTGATTAGATAATTTGGACTTGTTTGAAGATATAAAATCATCTAGACTTTATTTCGTTTTACAGTTAACATTTCTATTTTATAAATAACGTATTATGTAACAATTGTCAGGTTTAAAAAAAACAATTATTAGACGAGTGTCGTGTATATTGCAAAACCTATGTAAAATCAAATGTATGTATATATTTTATTTGTTCCTAATTGAAGATAACTTATTATAATATTACAAGACATGAACTTACTAATATTATAAATGTAAATGTTTGGATGGATGGATGGAAGTAAGTTTGAAGGTATCTCCAGAACGAATATAGCGGATCTCGTTGAAATTTCCCGATGTAGAACATTGTACCGATGAACACATAGGGTACTTATTAAGTTTTAATTTACTTACGCGTGGACGGAGTCGCGGGTGACAGTTAGTACATAATATTTTAAAAATCAAATGTTTCTTTGCATAATAGAAAAAAAAACAAATTTTCTCATTCAGTCGACTACGCATTGTATCAAAGTTGCGGCGCCAATCGTTTATTTATCCGCCATATTTCTTGTGAACGTAAACATAAACAGATCTGACACAAAAATACATAGTGTACGTCCCAAATTAAGATAGACGGCGTGATGGTATGGAAATAGTTTTCTGAACACACATTATCGAAATAGATAAAATCTCCTAGATGACTCTTAATCGTACTTAGAGACATTTAACAATTACTTAAGTAGTCCCCCAGTAGATACTTTTATTACTAAAATAACTATTACGGTTATTCTTAATTGAAATTGGAATGTGAACTTTTTGGTGATGACTAAAATACAAATAATAAATCATGTCTCTGTTGCTGCAACAGTTGCTCTGTCTGAAAAGCACTCAAAATTTGTCAAATCACAACTGAATTCCTCGAAATCGTCATAGAACTAAATACTTAATAAACATGTTGAAAGTTTTACCATAGGTTTCCGAAACCTTTCTCATACCGTTCACTATCTTTGACAAAAGTGATAATGTTTTAAATGGATTTTTGGTTTCAGAAACCTACGTTTAGTCGTATTTAAGAGTATTATTATCATATGCTTCTCTATGTTGTTTTTATGAGCAACGAGAAACTCAATTTATCAATACTGACTAAAATATTGAGAATGTATGGAAAAATATGAATTTGTTCACACGATATAGAAGCTGCTGAGTACATAGATGTATAAATAGAGAGAATTCTTTGTAGTCGACTCGCTGAGTATTGTTACATTGTAAACAGATAGGCCAACAACTTTTATTTGTGTTACGATTAGAGAATCGTAGCACACATCGTAACACAATCGTAACACACACAACAAAGAGTAGACCTAGAGAGGTCTCTTTCAAAGTCTATATATCTAGTATAAACTATATATGTAGATAAATTAGTTTTATTGATTTATTTTGTTTTTGTTATCGCCCGCGACTCTATCCGCGAACAATATAAATTAACTTAATTAGTAGCCTATGTGTTCTTCCAGACTATGTTCTACATCTATGTCAATTTACACCTATATCCGTTTAGCCGTTCTGGAGATACAGTCTTACAAACACTCAAAAGTAGGTTGAAAATAACATCGATTATGACGAAAACTACCAAGAAGACAGCAATGAGAGTAGGACAGATTTTTTTTTCCACCAACAAAATTGACGTACATAGCGTACAATTTCCATAATAAGTACTTGGTGGGTTAAATATAAAAAAAAAATATTCAGCTACTCCTGGTATTGTTTATGCTCGCCTAGTACAATACAACAAGTGCAACGTATTTTTGCTCTTAGCTTTGAATCGCTGCCAAATCTTGAAACATCACGAAAGTGCCACAATATGTTCCCTAAATCACCAAACCTTTAATGTAGGTCATGCTTGGACATATCAGTATACTACTATCCCTTTCCAACATACAGTTTTAGTATCATCCGTCCTACTCTCGGAATGCTTTCGAGCAATTAAATGAATAATGGATTTCTTATTGCCTGTTAATGTCCACTTTGAAATGTGAATGACGTACCATTTTACATTTTTATGTACAATAAACTTCAGAATTTTAATCTAACGTTTTTTTTTATAAATTATTTCTAGAAACACGCCGTCTGGGAAGGTTTATCGCAGTCAGGTCTAGTCAGATCTTGACTCTAAAACGTAGACGATTTACGTTCACTCGATTCTTAAAAAGATCTTTCTCCAACCCTTTCTTTCTGTAACTTTATGCCTCATAAGTCATTTCATTCATTTCAAACATTCAAGACCGTAGTGTCATATCGTTTGTAGCTTCTCCTTTACTTATTAGAATGGGGACAGAAGGGAAGAACTTCAATTGCCCTCAGGGGAAAACCACTTGACACGTGTCTTCTGTGTGGTATTGCTCTGGTTGAGCAGGCAGTTCATAGAACAATTAACACTACGAACTCTACCACTGTTTTCTATGTTGTGCAGAGTCCCCGGGCAGCGTGTTTGGAGTACCACTGGCGCAGTGCGTGGAGATGGAGCGGGCGCTCCGTCGGCAGCAGCACGGCGGCTCGCGCGCTTCACTCGCCTCGCTTGGCGCACTCGACAAGGGGGATGATGTGAGTTAATTTAATGCTTATAGAAATCTAATTTTGACTCAACTTAATTAATATTTTTGTACATATTAATACAGTCGAATGTAGTTTTTTATTGTTGTATAACGCCAATCTTTATTAGAAAACCTAGTTTCATGAAAATAATAGATTTTTTTATAATTTTATGCAATTTAAAGCATCTTACACAAAACTTGTGTTGTAAAATATGTGATTTAAAGAACATCGCAGTTTTTCTTTGCATTTCACTTGATTATATTGTTGAGAAGAGTAAATTGAAAATCAATAAGAATGTAAAATCTCAACGTATTTGTTAACGTACAAAGTCCAACGTATAAAATGGACGTAATGTAAATTTATCACAACAGATATCCACTGAAATACTTTTACTTTGTTTATGTTACTGTTCTCGGTAATATTGTGGAGTTTTTCTCGGAAGAAAATCATTGGATTCTCTTGCTTTTTTTATATAAAGAGTAACTATTAGAAATTTATGTTTTTCTACACAATAATACTGCAAAAAAGTGAACAATTTTCCGCAAAGAAGTCGCGAGCAACACTTAGTGTTAAGACAAAAATTATTGACCTCAAAATATTAAATAACAATAGCAAATGCCAATTAAGCTTGTGACTTTATTTAGGCGTCAACAGAGGGGGGGCAGAAAGGGGTTGCGAGGAACAGAGAGGTTTAGTGGGTATGCCTCCGCTATGGAGGAGAATCCCACGTAACAACCGCGTCCTCTCCCCCGGGGCGCAGAGTATGCATAAAGCATTCCTCTCTGAAAAAAAAGGAAGGGGTAGCCTAGAGAATTGAAAAATGTAAAATAAAGATCATATGAATGGTAGCTGCCCTGCCCCTCACCCTAGACCATCAGCTAGCAATGTCTATGATTCTTTGTACTATAATTTGTAAGTATTTATATCGCTTAGTACTGTTTTTGTGTCACGACCTTAACAGCACTGGAACTCTGAAATAGTTCGTTCGTTTGCCGCCAAGACACGTAACAATATCGACGCAGTAGATTTACGCACCTGCTCCAAATCACCAAGGGGATATTTAAACAGATTTCAGTTGCATACAGATTACTGTTATTATGTAGGTGAATACTAAAAAAATCATCACCTAAAATTATCCTAAACCAGCGGAGTATCAACACATTTTTGAAAATACAAGGATCGAACTTGAATTCAAATTAACCCTTACGCCACCGGCGCATTTAAGATCCGATCAGTTGATACGGTGCAACATTAAAATGGGCAATGTAAACAGAATGCAGACAGCAAAGCAGACGCTGCTATCGTGGGCGAGCTCCGAAACTGATATGACAAGCGCCAATCACAAACAAATGCCACTCGATAAATCAACGTAATGACACAACGTGTGGGAATGATTTACGTAGTACGCAGACAGAGGGTCTATCACGAATATTTGTGAGATGCATTCTCGTAACGTCATCGACAATATATGTCAAAGTTTGCACAAGATTTGTCGTTGCAATGTACAAATTTAATATAAATTTTGTCGATAATCATTTCTCGTTATCATCCAAAATTTTCGTGCTAGGCTCCCAGAAGTCTACACGTGAATTGACCACCACTGTAACACTATTAAAAAGTTTGAATTATTATGTACAAGATCGTAAAAAAATCTTCCGTCATCACGTCCGATGGTGTGACGTAACACGACGTCACTCCTACGTCACCGGGTGTCCGGTTACCTGGCCGGCCTTCGTGTTGTATGGTTTCATTAAGGCCACGATAATTTTATCATATGACGCGACTTGCGCCCATCCGATAACCGAGTCGCACCTAAAATAGCCGCGTGGAAGTGTAGACCATGCCCGTGGAAGATACTACATCGTTAACGTAGGTTTACATTGCTATACACAACATATTGTCATCCCTTTTCTTTCTCTTTTAAAAGACAGGGATAACGCTTTTTTCGACAGTGTAAAATCCCGGCGAAATTGAAAATACTCTTACGAATATTAGTATTAAACTAGCGGATATATTCCAGCTGGAATGACATCGGGGAATTCCAAAACCACTTCATAATCTTCAAGCGTAAGATTTACTGATAGTAATAAAATCTTTCTGTTTGTATATACAAATCATTTCGAAGTGCAATATGTTTAAAGATTATTCGATTTTCACGTTAAATTATTACAAGTGAATGCCACATTCATCAAAATCATGGAGAGCAACGTCAATAAACTTGTATATAATTGTTTTATGATCAATTTTAAATAATCATTACTTATCTTAGAAAATAACTACGACACAAACATTTTGAGAAAAAGAAGCATCCATATCTAAGTGTTATATAAAAATCTCAAATCTAAACAAATAATATTGTCACAAAACGACTCAATACGTTAATAATTCTCGTTTCTCCGTCATATTTCAGAGTGAATCCTGTGACTCGGGTGAGTGGTGGGCAGGACTGGAAGAGTCTGGCGGGCCGCGGGTGCCGGGTCTTGTCACCGCCTGCCTAGCACACCTACGCCGGCACGGTCTTCGCACGCTCGGCCTCTTCAGGGTATCAGCATCCAAGAAGAGAGTAAGACAGGTACTAATTACTATCTTTGATTAAGTGTATGCAATAGAGCTTCTTCCGGAAATTTTGATTCAACGAAATTTCTAATTATAAAATTTTCTTCGGTGATATTTCTCAACCTACGATTAATGTTTTACAAGGCTACATCAAATCCAACAACACACCTGCAGTATTTAGTTAGACAAGAAGTCGACTAGTCTCTTCTCGTACCTTATTGTAAGTCGCTTTAGTTAATATTCAATTCACGAAGAATATGATAGTGTGAATGTTAGTATATCGAAGGCAATAAATCAAATAGCAACCGTGCCGCTACAAATCCACGCACGTGCCGAAATTTCAACCGAACAATATCGTTATTTCCATCGGCGCAGTGCCGATTTTAAACATCTACAATGTAATGGTTACAAACTTGAAAACTCTGACGCAGTTGCTATGACAGAAAATACAACAGTAAATCCATACAAATGTTAAGTTTACGAAGCAGACATCGATACTGCCGGTGGGAAAACGAAACAACGACTGACGGAATTAGATGTTTTGCCGATCGACGCGCGCGATGACCCAGATCAGATTTTAGAGAGCCAGATTTATTACAAAGTTTGCGGTACTCGAGACCGCGGCTGCGGCGATAGCCATCCGTCGGCCGCTAGATAATGCGGTGCCGAGAGAAATTTAGATACGGCTCTTGGTTTAGATCCTCTATTAATAGTACTCATCTCCGGAATGAGTAACGTCCGCTGACACGTACTTCGCTGTTTCAGTATCGCACCACTTATTGTTATTTATTTTCATTACACTTGTTATATTGTTACGTAAGTGAATTACATGAATTATTTGTTTCAACAGCTTTTGTATTTTTGTTTGGCAATGATTTGACACATATTTATGAGTAGATGAAATCTTTTACTGGATGTGGACTTAAAAGTATTTTGCAAAAAAGTGAAGGAATAAATTGTCTTCTTGTCAATCTTTGTCCACTACTGGAAGTGTTGTTTTAATTCCAGTTACGCGAGGACTGGGAGCGCGCGCAGGAGGCGGCGCTGGACTCTGCGGTTTGCCCACACGACGTGGCTACGTTGCTAAAGGAGTTCCTGAGAGACCTGCCCGACCCGCTACTCTGCAGAGATCTGTATCCCGCGTTTTTACAGACACAAAGTAAGTTGGTTGACTGGTTTACTGCGTTCTGTTTATTGTTTTGTAAATATCTGCCTTCACAAGATACATGTATCACACTCTTTTCCAAGACTATTTTAAAATTCCTAAGAGATACATTTCATAGTACTGTGTTTTAAAATAAGTATTGATTATTTCGATACTTTAGTATTCTCCAGTGTGTTATATTCACTTCTAATTCTTTCAATGCTTTAAGAATTTCAGTGATTTTGTAGTATAGTACAAGTTTAGTAAGTTGATGTTTATGCCGGTCGTTGCAGAAATCCGTAACCGCCGTCTACAATGGGAGGCGCTGCGGCTGATCGTGCAGCTGTTGCCGGCGGCGCATCGCGACACGCTGAGCGCGCTGCTCGGCTTCCTGGCGCAGCTCGCCGCGCACGCCGCGGACGACGCGCAGCCCGGCAACAAGATGGACGCCGCCAACATAGCCACCATCTTCGCGCCCAACATCCTGCATCGGAATAAGCCCAATGAGGCTGCCAGGTCAGTTCTACGTTCCCCATTTTTCTGGCTACTCTCGAAACCAATTCTCTATACTAAGCCAGGGATCATCTCGAGATACTATCTGGTCTACTGCAGATAATCTGGACCACAATAGATATAAGTAATAGATAAAACTATCTTATTTTGTTAGAAATTAGAAGCCCTGAGGCAATTTCTTAGTTTTGTTTTAAAATGTAACCGGGTAATGATTTGCAGCGCGGAACAATTATCGGAGCGTGCAGACGTGATAAACGTGGTCCGGCAGCTGGTGGAGCGGCAGTCGGAGCTATGGGCGCTGCCGGCGGAGCTGCTGCACGAGGCCTACATACACCTCGCCCACTCTGCACCCGCCGTGCTCGACTCCCTGCTGCTGCGACGAGCAGAGTGAGTACACACCGCACATGACTCAGTAGTACTCTCAATAAACAAGTAACTAGATGTACAACTACTTTGGTGTTCTTTGTGCCCTGATCAAAGAAAACAAATGTGCAGGTGCGCGGAGGCGGCGGCAGTTGCGGGTGTGGGTGGTGGCGGGGAGTGCGGGGAGGGCGGGGAGGGCCGGCGCATGTGGTCGCGCGAGCAGTTCCTGCACGGAGCTGCCGCCACCGCCGCGCCGCCGCCCGCACTGCTGCACGGGTAACTTAGCTTTACTATTGTCCTTTGTTTTTGCAATAGAAATCGGTGACCGGTATTGAGTATTCGTTTTTAATACTTCAGGGAGAAGTCGTATTCCCGGAGTAGAAGATCGAGGGATGCGGCGTCCGAGACCTCATCGGGCTCCTTGTCGTCAGCTATGACCATAATTACAAGGTAAGCATAGACGGGCTTCGAGCAAAACCTTAAAAACAATAATCTTAAGATAAGTCTCTGCTGTGGTCCTCAGATGAGAATCTCGTTGATTTGTTATACGTGTTGCGTGGTCAGGGTAAGAAGCAGCGAGGAGTGCGTGAGCAGCGGCGTGGCGAGCAGCAGCGGCGCGCCGCGTACTGACTCGGCGCCGGACTCCAACGACTCCGCCAGCGACTACAATGAGGTCAGTCAACATGCTGCACCAGAGGATACTTAGTGAACGTCAGTCTCGTCGACGTCATTAGTTTAGTATTTGCCTCCTACTTAGTGTATAGAGTGTATTGTGATTGTGTAATCAGACTGGCGGCGGCGCGTCGGAGGACGAGTGTGTGATCACTGCGTCGTTGCACATCCCGGTGGCGCAGGCGCGGCGGCGCTCCGCCTCGGGCTCCTCCTCCTCCGCCAAGAGGGACTCCGCGGTGGGTTCCTCGCCCTCCGCCAGCGTGTCCGGCGCCTCCTCCCCGCCCGCCTCGCCGCCGCCCCTCGCGCCCCCCGCACCCCACGCGCGGTCAGACATCGACCGCCTCGGTGCGCTCGCACGGTAATTCATATTTTACAATCTTTACTGCTTTTAATTCTTGACATAGAGGATAAACGTAAGATGAAAGTAAATTCTAATTTGATAGCTTGTATTTTCTTATGTTCAGTGAACGGAACACGTCAGACGCGCGAGCGGTGGTGTTGAGGCAGCACGACGAGTCTGCGAGCCGCCGAGTGCGGCGCGAGGTGACGGTGCGGAGAGAGGAGCGGGCAGAGGAGAAGACGGAGCACAGAAGAGATGAACGGGCAGAGGAGAGGACGGAGAGCAGGAGAGAGGAGCGGCGGGAGACGACGCTGTACAAGAGAGGGGAGCTCATCTCGAGCGCGCAGTCGCCGCCCGCGTGACACGTCCGACTCTTTTTATACATAAACGTATATTTATATGATATTTATTTTTTTATTATTGTAATACAGTATTTTACGTGTATTTTTTATATCGATTCCCTAAACTTTAAAGAGCTGGTGTATTATTCTCATTGTCCTTTCTACTAATAGGTCAATCAAACTGAAGGTAAACATTCTTTATCTTCATCATGTTACTTTTTGTCTACTCGTGAATAAAAATAATCAGAAAACTCAAAAACCAAGTAAAACCTTAAATAATATAAGGAATTCATGAAAATCGAAAAAACGAAAAGTAATACAATTTTTTAAACCAAAAAGAGGTTTGCAGATGCTCGAGTTTTAGAAGTAATAAAAAGCTTAAAAAAATGATTGATAAATAATTTTACTGCCAATCTTAATGTTTTCCTTTGATAATTTACATCTTATTTTTAGTGTTTACATAGTCTTTATCCATCGTTTACTTCCTGTGCAGTTTGTCGCGCATGATGATGCCTCCCAGCTTAGACACGTTGTCTTGGTATTCAGTCTTGCCCAGCGGCGGCACCAGAGATGTCGTCTCTGTCGAGTTTTAAAAAATAACCTTTGAGTTTTCTTACCGAAATTATCTGAAGAATTGATGGTGGTTGAAATACAAAAGAAGGTGATATAAGGAAGAGGGAGAAAGTAATGTCAGGAAGACAGGATAGTGTTGAAAAGTCATACACGTTTCCCCTGTCTACACTTTTCGGTTAGAATGTTAGGATTAAAAATCAAAATCTTAGTTATACTGACCACACTTAGCGCGCGGGTCGGGTCCGCCTCCTGCCTGTTTGGAGATGGTCTTCGGCGTGGTCATGCGGATCTTGGGCGCGACGCGGCACGGGTCTCCCGGCAGACGCATCGGCTGCGAGCACGGACCCGACCCACTCTCGTCGGCCGCGCGTTGCAGGTTATCGAACTTCGCTCCTGGACCTTTGAACACATGGTTTTAGTTTATGGAAAGTAATTAAGCAAAACTAGAGGCTTTCGTCCTGATTCACCAAGAAGCATGTAATTGGCTGATCGCATGTTTTTCTTTGCATTCAAGTATATCGCGCTAACACGTACCTAACTTCTGAAATACGTCACTTACGGCTCGGAAAACACGTATTAATTTATCTTGGAAAAAGTTTTATTTGCTTGACCAAACGTCAAATCTATAACGTGTTTTTAAAGCTGTTGGAAACGTAGTAAAAATATTACCTCACCTCTCTTAATTAACCTCTTAACCTTACCTCTTTTAATGCACATTCACTTACCACTCTCACAAAAGTCGACATGGTAAGTTGTCTTGTTCCTGTCACGATCGATCCTTTGTTTGAGCTCAGGCGAGGCTTCGTTCTGCAGGATGCTGTACAGCATCGGGTACTTCGATTGCAGCTGGAAAGATAAAGGAACAAAATATGTACAGTTACGTGATTCAGGACGATACAAGGATATTAAATAGAGTTTAGACAAACGTACCTTATCAAGGAACGCGTTGGGTTGATTATATCTTGACGTAGGTGTTTCTGGGGCGGCAGCAACGCGTGCCGGATACAACTTTGGATCTAACAATGGTCCCATAATCTAAAATTATGAAAAAAAAAACATTTCAAAGAACATCGTATTTATTTTTCAGTATAAGGACATAAAAGGAACTGCAGTACCTTTGTCGTCTAGCAGGACAGTCTTCCCTGGCTTAAAGAAAACAGGCAATACAATGTACCTTAGTTTACAAACGGTATACCTCAATCCTGCTCCATCCCCCTTCCTTGCCGGGCGGCAGTTGAGGCATCTCTCCGCCAGAGTACTGCGGGCAGCGACAGTCAGGCGGCCGCGTGTGCTGCATGCAAGCCTGGTAGAACGCCATCTCCTCGCCAGAAAGCTTCGGTATTCTGAATGAATATAATTCGGTATACTAGTTTTAAGTGAAAAATCAAGCAGTATACCGGGTCCTGACGAGCTGTTAGTTCAGGGTTTGACCCGAATTCGCTTCATACGTGTCACGATTTTGGTCTACTTTTATTAAAAGTTGACAGGCCTCGTTTTGATGGTCAACTTGTTCTTCCACGTGTAACTAAACATCGGAGAACAATACACACTTTTGTTCCTAATAAGTTGCATTGCTTTTTGTTTGGAGGTCGTATAGATACGAAGCTCCAGTGCTAAAGTGATGTCCCTCTTGGTCCTTAGGTTGACGAAATATAGTGTAAAATTCTAGTTATAATAGATATTACTAACTCAGCGACCCCCCCATGTTGCTCCGCCCCTGGTGCCTTGGGTAGATCGGGCCAAAGATAGTCCTTTCTGTACGTTGTAAGATAATGGTCCATGGTTAATTTTTAGTTAAATTTTTATAATTTTCCACATCACGAAAATTTTACATTTATGTTTGTTTACTGAAATTAAGACATAATAAATGTCATTTGTTTGATATCACTGACATCATCAATATGACGGTTACTTGATTTTTGTGTTTGCGTATTGATTTTTGACAGATTTAAACGTATTGATGACCTTGAGATGTGTTTTTTCGATACTTCGCATTTTGCTTTCAAAATTCACAAAGTTCAAGATTAAGATTCATTCAAGATTATTAAATAAAAGACATAATTATGAGTTTAACATTTAATAAAAATAAAACACTTTACAACAATCTTGTACAAAAAAGTTACGAAGAATTATAATGTAGGTTTAAAATGCAGAATTTGTAATAACTAAGATTAATTTTGTAAACTAAAACTGAAATGTGAATCACTATTGGTTATAGCAACCACTATATTGGTTTATACGTAGTAAGTGTAAGAAAACGGTGTCTTCCATCTGCCGTATTTTGGCTCCTCGCGGGGAGGACCGAAGGGGTTCTTTTCAAGGACAACTTTGGCCAGTAGACCGTGACACACATCGTATGTCGTGTCTCCAGTCGTCACGCGTAGGATACGACGCAATTCTCCTGCAAATGAAAACGTTAATAGTTGAGGTGCTTTCGTAGAAGACACTTATTATTAACTTGCATTTGTCAACGCAAAAAAGCAGACAATTCTGTAGTATAAGGATAACAAAAAAGATGACGTCTCATGCCATATAAAAAATTTAGCTTTGGCTTCAATTACAAAATTGTTGCACGCAACACGTGCCAAGTTAGTCTGGTAATGTAAACAATAAAATGCATTTTTCTAAGACAGAAGAAAATGAAAGTAAAAAATCTTTCCGTTCAGCTACATATAAGATTTTTTTGTGAAACGGAACGTTTTAATATTCAGACTCATGTCTGTCGTTCATCGAGGCCGAGAGTTGATGGCACTAAAAGACTATACCTAAAGTTCAATAATCAAAAGACACATACTTGTCAACGAGTCATCAAACTTAGGTTTCATGGACATCTTGGAAGGATGTTCTGCGTACTTCTCCGGTGCGGGATGGCGGTAGCTGCCGCGCTGGCTGGTATCAGGTATCTCCACATCATCGGGTAGACGCAGCGTCTGCAGCGCGCGCGCACGACGTGCCAGGTTCACCGACATGAAGGGCAACTCTGACCACAGATAACTGTTTTATGACAATAAAGTAGCGCTTGACTACGATTACATAAATCGAAAAGTGGTATAGGCTAATATTATAACTAATATTTCCAGTATCATATCCATCTTGCATCCAACTAAGCTGTATGCTTGTGCTAGAATATGTTTTACACCAGTAATACGATATAGAATGGCAGGATTCGAACTCAACCACGTAAATGGAAATCCGTGCCCTTAACCATTAGGCTATTGAAGCTTGAATAAATGTATGTAGTATTAAAAGAACAGATCCTAAATGTATGTTACCTCTAGAACAATATTTGACAAGATATTCCGTCCTGTTCAAATCTTGTAAGTCGTTTTCAATGGGTACTGGATCTATATCTTTCGTCATATGTTGTTTAGCTATTTTCGGATAGTCTTCTGAAAACTATTTAAATGAAAATGTTTAATAAAAATTATGTGACAGAAAGCTTAACTTTTTTATCTAAGCAAATTTCACATCATTGAGTTGACACGTCGGGCAAAAGAGTTCTTTTGCTGCTGAGTGCCAACTCAAATGCCGGCTACTTTATATCTAAACCAACTTATATGGGAAATGATTTATCTTGTAATAATAGGAACTGTGTCTGAGCAGTGGACTGATAGGCTGATTCGACTTACTCTGGTGATAGCCTCTTTGTAGTATTCATGTTTGAGTGGGCAAAGCACATCTGGGCTCTTGCGTGGCTTGTCTCTGGGCTTGAGAGCGTCGCGCCCCAGGCCCACGATTAGACAGTCGTCATCCACTGCCTTTCGACGTGGGCTTTTTCTGTTCCAAAGTGTTGGTAAAGTTACTGTGGAATTCCACTGTCAAAAACTTAGTTTATATTCTTATATGTGTTACCACGGGAATACTTTTTTTTCCAGAGAGGAATGCTTTATGCATACTCCGCGCCCCGGGGGGGGGGGGGACGCGGTAGTTATGTGGGATTCTCCTCAATAGCAGAGGCATACCCACTAAACCTCTCCTCCAACGCATCGGGACGGGGCCACAGGCACGCTTTCGCTCTCGTCTGCGACCCCGTCACCACGGGAATACTTACGGTTTTTCCTTTTTGATAAAATCATTCATATAAACCGATTTAAATTCTATTTCGCCGTCGAACACAGACATAGTTTTTAGTTTATTTTATTTATAGCTATTGAAGTAATTAAGAAAGCGAATCTTTTCGAGTTTGTTATTTAAAATTTATCATTGACATATTGACAGTTTATTACCTTATCTATAGATTATATATTTAAAAGGTTTTTTGTTAATTAAAAAAACTAGGGATTTTTTGAATAATTTGAATAATATTAAATATTACTTTACTTTAATTTTACCAAACTAGCACATCAAAATTAACCAACATTCTTCTGTGATTAAATATTTTCAAGGTCATTGTGAATCTAGAGAGAGAGAGAGAGAGCGAGAGAGAGAGAGAGCGAGAGAGAGAGAAAGCGAGAGAGAGAGAGAGAGAGAGAAGATATCGCCGCCAAACACTAATCTTTATAAATCGATAGGCGATTGCTTCGAAATGACAGCTTTGCATCGTTACGATTTGAAGGTGCTTGTTGTTACGAGAGAGTAAAAACCTTTTATATTATTAGTTCGAATCCTTACCACCGCTACAGACCGCAACCTACAATGGCGAAAATCGAATAGGCACAAAATACTATGTGCTTATAGCCAATACATTTGTAGAGGTCAGCGCCGCATAACATTCCTAAAGAGGAACGAGTATTTAAGAAATTTTAGACATTATTAGTTAGAATCATTTGTCGCGAATGACGTGCTTACATTGCAAAGTCCAGTGTCAGAATGAATAGTGATGGGACAAAAACATCGACATTTTAGTAAGGCTAGTGTCGAGTCAATACACTGGCTGCTTTTCGGATTTTCTTCTTAACACAAATAAAAAAGGTAAAATTTAAATATTTTTATTACACATTAAATCAACAAAGTAACATCATTTTCTTTGAATAAACGACAATAATAACGACAAATAAAGCATTAGTGAATAGGAAATTAGAAAAAAAGTTTTTATTTAATTTATATTTCTATATCTAACTTGCTTTTACGTAAAAGATAGCCTTACATATATTGACAGAACATAAAATTATATGTAATGCTAAAAAAACAATATAATTAAGAAAAATAGTCAAATATTGTCACAAATTAAAAGATCGTTAATTCAATAAAATATTTTTTACAACTTGGATTTTTTCAAAACAATTAAGTCGCTTAATTTCATGTTATTTTTAGCATAACATAAACAAACATAAATTAAACATTTTTACATACAGATTATTTTTTTTAAAATTAATAAATAAAAAAAATGGTGTAATACTAAAATGTTAATATTTCATAGAAATTTAAACCACAATGTATATTGAATTTATATTGATAAATATTGTTGTTTCTATTTGTTTAAAAAGAAAGAAAGAGAAGACAATATGTGTCGAAACAGTACTGTAACAAACTTATCTGTGGGTGGACATAGCACGAATATTTGTGTGAAATTGTTCGTTACATAGTACACCACTTCTATTTGACTCAAAGTACGACAAATGTACAAATTATATCGATTACGTTACCAATACTTTCTCACATTCTCACTCATGCTAACCCCCTGATCCGTGTAAAACAATACATATAAAACGTAATTAAGCAAAGAAAATGACACAAAAAAAGATATGACAAGACACTGTTGAGGGCGCTAGTGAAGTATAGATCGACAAGGATATCAGACCCAGTGTAAAAGTCAAAGTAAAATAGCATAGCACACTAGCGCCCCTCTATCAGTGACCAAAAACTGTGACAACAAGTTTCTTTTCGTATTATTATGCCATTTTTTTTCTTTTATATCATTTTCTATGCCTTTATATTTTATATTTATTCTTAAACTGATATATAAACACGGCTAAACACTCACGTATATACGTCCGGTGGTATTATGTCAGCGAGCGACGGGCCGCGTCCACGAAATAATACCAGTACCACTCATCCTGATGCTGCTATGAAACTAGTCGGTGCCGACACCGGACGTATATACGTGACTGTTTAGCCGTGTTTATATATCAGTTTAGTATAATGTCTCACGAAAGTTTGAATAATTTAATATTTATTCTTGTTTGACTATATTGTAATTTCGTTTCCTCATGGAGACAAAGTAAGATAATATCGAACGTATGAACATTTAAACAAGTTATAATATGGCATCAAGCTAACAAATTAAAATAGTATAAGCTCATTCATATTTAAATACTTTTACAATACGCATTAGAGTTTCCACTGCGATATGTATAAATACATGTATGATGACAAATGTTTTGGTTTATCGGCAGAAACCCATAATTAAGCTCTGCTTTTATAGAGAAATGTTAATAAAAATTGATTATTTTTTTTAAACATTCCATATTTCGTGGAAGAAGGTTTCTAATTTGATATCGTATAAATTCAAAACATTATTTTTAAGCAATTTTTTTTATTATTTAAGTAAGGCTATAAAATTATTCGATGAAAAAAAAAAATAACTATACTGGCAATTGTTTAAAACAATCAGCCAATTTATCTATAATAATAATTTCCTTTATAAATAAAATATATTTTCCTCAATAAAAAGCAGAACTTAAATTTTACAAGGTTTTTAAAAAAATATTTACAATATAAACATTCAAATCAGTCGCATTTCATTTAGAAACCACTAAAATAATGCCTTGTTTACATTATGCCAGTACAGTGGGACAGTAGCCCTCTATATCATACAACTGGAATAATGTAAACACTAACTGGCGCCAATAAATCAGTCGATGCCAGGTCAGTTTTTTTTTATATCATAAGGTGGCAAACGAGCGAGCGGCCACCTGAAATCGCTGAAATAGCGAAGTGACCGTTGTCCATAGACATACGCAATTGCATAACGTTGCCTACCTTTAATCGACGGAGGAGAGGATGCGCAGAGAGAAAATATTTTCCCTTCCCATGCATCCTCTCATCCGGAAAGTCCACTTTCACTTCCCATCCTTTCCTTATAAGACAAAGGGTGGGAAGGGAAAGAGGACTAAATTAGGCCTCCGGGACGCACACTCATCAGACGAAACGTGGAATTGCTTCCACTTCACGCCTGTCTTCTATGTGGTTCAGTTCTACTGACCTACTGTACTGGCATAATGTAAACCAGACAATAACTTTATATTTATTTAGATTCTATAGCATCGTAATGAAAATTAATATATTAATCAATCTTAATTCGAATGATACTGGTTGCTTCGAAAAAAGTTACATCTGCAATAACGTGACTTTTAACCGAGGGTTTCCGAGACTGAAATCTCTGTATTTTTAAATATTAATAATTACAATACTTTGACGCGAATGACGTGCTTTCATTACAAAATCTAGTGTCCTAATGAATATCGAGGGGGACACAAACGTCGACATTTTAATAAAGCTAGTTTTGAGTCAATACACTGGCTCATTTCTCATTTTCTTCCTAACAGTATAAAACATATCGTCATCCCTGTAATTATCTTTGACAAAACAGAGATAGCAATATGGTTTAAACGGAGATTTTGGTCTCAGAAACCATCGATTAGTCAGACAGATCAAAAAATGCTTATTATTCTACAATAAGCTAACTTTATATTGAACATGTAACTCTTTTCGTCATATAAGTAGATATAATTTGTATGTCTCGCTTTAGTTCAAACATTAATGTCCCAAATTAAAAAAAAACTGTCATTTTTTTATATAAAATACAATGAGAAAGACGTTGAAAAACATTACAAAATCAAAGTTATATTATTATAATATCTTTAAACGCACCAAAGCGAATGCTTTAAAAGCCAGTAGCAATTTTATACATTTTTATTATATACTTATTATTTATATATACACACAAATACACATTTTTTAATATATTTTTTTATAATTACTGAATACATAAAAATTATAATATACATAATAATACAATGACATTTTTATAAAATACAAATCTACTGATAATTAAACGAAAATCTGCATATTTCAAACATTTAAAGTAAGTTTTCATTGCTGTAGCAATTGTAAAAAACATTTATTTATTTATGTCAGGTAAAGAGGAAAATATCGACCCATGCGATGAATAAATAAGGTTGCATCTGCTAACCGTAGGTTTCTGAGACCAAATTGTTATCTTTGTTTTATCAAAAATTCAGTCTGGTCTCAGAAACAAATGGTATGAGATACAAGTTTTTTAATTTTGATTTTTTTAAAAGGAATCTATAGATATTTTTCGTATGATGGATATGTCTTTTTACATGTATTTCGACAGTGAAAACTTACGGTTACATAGCTTTTATTATTAGAAATAATAATTTTCTCGTATTCCTCTATAAATATGTTACCGGCACATAAATTAGAGGATATTTATAATTCGATTTATTAGGGGATTCCCCGTTTCATAAGTACCCAGAGTGAACGATTAAGGGTTCTGAGTATGAAAGTAATCTTTAGGTAGAAAAAGGTTATTAATAGTAGGGGTACCACATATTTAGTTTATTTTAGGAGATTCCCTTTATTTTTTAACTCTTTCACGTAAGACAAAATATAACAAGAGAAAAAAGGTTTTTACACTGATTTGATATTTGGTTTCCACAACAGAATTTTCGTTTTTAATATAAACTTTCACTGTATTTTTGCTAGATATATTCTGATTTACTAAGCTTAGTACACTTGTTATTCCTCCGCGACACATAACATTACAAAAAAGGTTACACTGATTTAATATTCCCCCGATGAAGTCAGTTTTATGTGAGGGGATTCATGTTCATACACTAACTTGGTCAGTGGTCGTCCTCCGACATGGAGACCCGCTGCTAGGGCACCCTGAACGGCACCACCAGGTCCTCGTGATGTTCCACCCTCAGCTCGGATATGGCGGCCGCTGCTTTCTTTACAGCATTCGTTATCTGTGGAGATAAA